AATTTGATGAGTAGAAACAAGTCTCTGTGCTGTATGGATATGAAGGTATTCGACTTAGAGCATGTATTTTGAAATAAAACACCACAGAATATTCCTCTGGCTACATGTGTATATTGAGAGCTGTATTTATGACAGTGCTTCTGGTGTTAGCAGCTCTGCTTCTGCTCTGATACACAGGAATCTAGTGAAGTGTTTGGCCTAAAGTTTGTTTTCCATCTGGCCAGTATACAAAGTGACAGTGCAAACCCACTGAGATCGTACTTTTTCTCCAGCATATTATAAAGCCCTCAAGTCAAGGGGCAGGGAATGGGGATGATGTGAAGTGTCAACAGCAAAAAACGTTACCAGACCATTGTAGAAGGAAAGTAAGTTGTGGCAGGGCAGTGAATATACTGACTACTCTAAATGCAAGAGAACATATCCAAATTAAGCCAACTTCTCCCCAGAGCGGTACTTTTTTGTCACAGCAAGAACATTTGTAGTATTCCCCTCTGACAGAAATACCAAAATTAGCTGATTTTATATCAATTAACACATTCCAACTGCTGAATCATTTTCCACAAGTCTCCTGCTGTTTTCATTTCGGGTGGGAATACTCTATGTCCCTCCACTTCCATTTGCTTTTGTAAGAATGTTACAGTTTTTTTCTCCTAACCCATTTAAAAGGTGTTTCAGGAAAGTACAATTGTTTTTACTAAGATTTTAAATTCTGTCCAGAAGAATTCTTTGCAAAAATGCAAAGAAAAGGGGAAGGTTCTTGTCCTCTTGTCTCTTTTCTTTCTTCACCCTCCTTCTTTCTTCCTTGCAGTTTAAATATCAAGGAAAATTAGTGCTGTTAATCCTTTGCGGTTATGGCAAAGATACCTCCAAAATATGTCATCCCAATGGACAGTTAATAGCGCAACAAGAATCTTTGAGTACTAGCATAAAATTATCCACAGAGGAATAAGATTTCTCTCATTTTCCCAGAAAATCAATGTGATTGTTATAGTGACTGATTTTCAGATTTTTCTCCTTAAAGATTTCTCAGCCACTGGACATTTCCTGAGACTGTGCTTATCCTTTTTGTATTTTGTATTATTCTTTTTTTTTCTTCTTTATTTTTGTTAAGAGTCAACTGTTCTTTTAAGCTCAGTAAATTGTCAACTTGCCAGGCTAAATATTCTAGACAAGGAGATACTTGTCTAAAGTAGTTCTGCTATGGTAATGCACCCTGACCTTTCAAGCAAGGGGCATTTGAGGTTGTGAAACAAGCCCTCAGCATGCGAGATGCCACTGGAACGCAGAACGCCTTCACTCCCCTTTTGTGCCATGCCCCTCTGATTTGACAGTTACTTACAGGACCTGCTTTAAAGGTTGTTTATGGCTGTGACTTTGGCTGCAAGACTGTTTTTGCTCCTGCAGAGAGAGCAGGTGTGCTTGAAATCAAGTTTTTCACTTAAAAGTCTGTCTATGCTGTTAGTGAGACCTCTTGTTTCTCATGATATTTCTGTAGCCCCTGTAACACCAGTTAGTCCTTTTTGCTCCTGTGGAAGAGCTGAGTGTGCTAGAACATTCTCATCTGAGCAGACCTGCAAAGTGGACATGATTGCTGCTCCCCCTGCCACACAGGAATTTTCGTGCTCAGTTGTGAACTTCAAAACTGTCATTTCTCTTGTTTTGTCTTATACCAAAGTAGGCAGAATACCTCAGCAGCTTGTCTATAGGCGATCCACTAGCAGCTACTGTGTTTTGCTAGTCCGAGCAGCTACAATTCGGCTTCATGAGACTGTCCAGCACACGTTGCTGCCCACCTCCTCTTCCCTCTCCCTTTTCCCCTCATGTCTGCAATCCCAGGTGAAGCCTGGAAGCTTCTGAAGGTCTCCAGAGACTGGAGGAACTGTGGGTTTGTGGTATCCAGCGGAGATGGCTCAGCTCTTCTTTCTTTCACAGTCCCCAGGTGGCATCTTTCAACAGGTGCTGCTGCAGAAGAGAGAAGAAAGCACCCAGAAAAAGTTTAGGGACTGTTGCCACGTGAGTCAGGAGACCTTTAAAGGTATGGTATGCCTTCCTCCTAAGACAGGGAGGGAGGCTATAGACTGTGTGGGGATTGTGTAACATTTAGGTCTTCACCTCCTGTTCTGTTCAGGGAATTGTTTTGCTTTCTGAGCTACTATGAGAGTTTTGACTCTGTGCAATAAACTCAACCTCAAGACAAGGGCCAAGAAGAGACTCGCACATGACACTGCTTTTCTTGTGTGGTGGAGTGGGAATCATGGGTTTTTCTTCCTCCTCCAAGGTGCTAGCAACTGCTGCTGTCATCAGCACACAGCTGGCCATAGTGGACATGCAGCTCAAAGTATATTCCTGGGTGAAAAGGCCTTAAAAATTTCCAAATGCAGTTTCACAAAAGCCAGTTGCTCCACTGACACTTTCGGCGCTACTGTCTCTCCACCCTACATATTCTCAGTCTGAAACGTCTTCTTGAACATATGGAATTTTTCTGCTATTGCATGGATGGAGGACATTGTACCTACTTCTTACCCAAAAGAGCCAAGCCATGATTAGGTAAGAACCTCTCGCCGGTGCTGAGGAGACAACTGTTGTTTCTGCATGGCCTGTGGGAGCTAGCAGCAGTGCTGGTATCAAGGCCGGGGTCAAACCAGCCACTTGAGCGCTCTCTTTTCAGAAGAAAAAAAAACCCAAGAGAAACTAAGAGTAAATCCTAGGAGCTGTAAAGTAGAGTAAAGATTTACTAAGAGTAAATCCAGGATAATTGTCATTTGTCACTCTTAAATTGAACACAAGTATGGTTTTTTCCTCTGTTCCTTCATTTCTGTTTTCAGTTTCTTTAAAATGCCAGAAATTGGTGGGTTTAGAACCTAGGAAGCCTTTCATTTGTAGTGATTGTCTTCTTCCTGAGGTTAAATAAGCACAACTACCTAAGAGAGGAACTCATGGCAATAACTAAACCAGATTAACTGTTTTTTGCCATGTTTTGATATGTGGGCCTCAGGCACATCCACAGTTTACAGTACTGATTTTTCAAGAGGGTATTCTGCAAGGCTGTGTGCTTCAGCGTGAAACAGGGCTGACTCCTCTTATGTGCCTCTGGTCCCAAATCCCAATGGGCTCTTGAATATTGTTCTGCGCCATTTTTCTTTCCAGTATTTAGTAATTGTGCTTTGTTTCCATAATGAGATCAACCTGCAAGCTTAGAGAGATTTTGGCTGTAGAATATCAAACTCATAGTGCATATGAGTGACCAACTTCCCATCACTCTTTGCCTTTGGCTCAGAGACCGTGTTTGTAATGGAATGCACTTGTATTTTGTACTGTATCATCATATTGTAAACCCTTCATAACCTCAGGACGACAGCTGGGGCTCATGGGTATTTGCTGTGTCTCAGAAGAGTAAGAGATGCTACAGCTGCCCATGTTTTGCGTTGGCAGGCTTGGTTCTGGGTATGACGTAACAGCAAACTTGCAAGGGGCTATTTCTTCAATCCAATGAGTAGGTTCAGTCAGCAATGTAGTATATATACACTTTGCTAACAGACATGAATATAGAATTATACAAGGAGAGTGAAATTTTCTTTAATATGTTTTCCTAGAAAATTATGATTTAAAAGAATTTCTCCATTGCACAGCAGTTTGTTCATTTGCACCTCTGTAATTCACTTATAAACACCTTTATTCTGTTAAAAAGGTATTTATGTGCTTAACTGTGTCTTTTCCATCCATAGTCCTCGTGTGTAAGAAGCCTGACAATTAATGCCAAGATTAATTCCACATGTTTGCAGAAGCGGGCCCACAGATGGCTGTTAATTTCCCTTGGCATCCTTATAGGCCAATATGTTTCTGTTATTTTATTTACAAAATAAACACTATAAATTTACTTAATCATATTTGACGTCATAATTTCAGGTTTTGCTTTGGCCTACAAGGGCTTAGGGCCCTCGGGGTAGCTTTCCTTATTATTAAACAGCAGTTATACAGCTGTAGTTAGTGAATTATGCTTGAAGACATGCATAAGAAACAAATGCACAGCAGTTCCTATAATAAAGTGAAAAATGCATCTGTGCAGTGAAAAATGTGTTTTTCCAAATGGAAACCATGAAGTGCAGTTCAAAATTTATACCTTTATTTGACATTTTATCCTCTCTTTGTATGAATGAATAATGTCTGCATTCTAAAGAGGAAAATCATGAGAAACAGCATTCACAATGAAGCAGGACAAAGATTGTTGCTGCTTTTAGTATTTCTTTAATTTCAATTAATGTTCAAAATTATTTTATGGGCAGATGTGATTTCCAGCAGGGACTGGTTACACCAATGTCGTGAGCTCATGGACTGTGTCCTGGGATCTCTCAGGCTCTCAGCATATGAACGTGTTGGTCTCTCACCTCTTGATCTCCAGGCGCCTTTCAAATAAACCTCCTAAGGTCATCCTTTACCCACAGCCCTCCTCTCCACACAGGGCCTTGTAGCTGCCTCAAAAAAAGAGTTGTCCCTGGTGCTTTTTTTATATATGGTTTTCTTTCAATCCCACCTTATGCGATTGTTTGTCTTTGGCAGCAACTGTGTAACTGAAAATGTAGAAGTCTAAAATATGTAAAGTGCAAGTTCTTTAGCCAAAGTTCCTGCACTGCAGAATTTGCTCCTGCATTTTGTATAACGTATTTTAAAATGTAGTGCTGGCTGAAGAAAGCAGGTAATGATCCAACGGCTGTTGACAGAATTGAAAGACACATTGTATGCAAAGTGTTGTATATTTGCACAACAATTTTAATTACATGGTAAAATTAATTTATCAGGTTTTCATATTTATGCTTTGACTATTCACCATCAGGTTTCTATATGCATTTTTGGAGGGGTCTTTTTTGGTCTGTTCCAAGCTCTGCTAAACTGCTCTAATTTGTTGGATATGTCACTGTAGTTGCAATGCTTTGCTGCTTTATTATTTTTTTTTGCATTTTTATGCTCTGAAAGTAACATCTTTTTCTTTATCTTTTTTAAAGATAAAGACATTCCCTGCTGATACATCTAATCCTTTTTTCGATCCTTTTACAACAGTACCACAGTTTTCTGTAAGTAGAACACGCAACTAAAAAACTGTGTATTTAACACAATTCCAACTGATTTAAGTGTCAGAAATTTTTGTGCAGTCCTCAAAAAAAAAAAAAAAGATAAATTCCAAGTAGAAATTAATCAGTTATATGTTCCCATTCTACAAATAATTCACTTGCCTGCATTGAGACATTGCCGCTTACTAGACAGAGGACTCGGAATTAGACGCTAAGGCTCACTGCTGATGCGGTCAGTCCCAAAATGTTGCTCAGTTAAGGGCTGTAGGGGACAGTTGTGAAGCTCAGTAGCATCTTTCCAAAGAGCAATAAGGGAGTGGGAAGACTTAGTCCTCTGTCTAGCAATTGCATGGCCTCCTGCCTGAAACCGCCTGCTGTGCCATTACAAAGAGGAGCCTGATTTCTATTGAATTTACAGCTGAATTTTAAGGAAGAATTACAGTTAGTGTGTTGATGACTACAATGGTATCCTTGTATAAACTCCTATGTTTACTTAATAACTTGTATCAAGTATTGTATTTAATTATTGTCAACCTTTCACAGAAGTCAGGATTTAGAGTTTTTGTAAGGTAAACTACATACAAAAAGAATCAATTGTTTGACAATTTAAAAAAGAAGTCCAACTTAAGTCCTGCTTTAAGGCTAGAGGCATTATGTAATATGTATGACAAAATTATCTACGCTATTTGAAACACTCTCTGATTATAATTATAAACCACAGTAACTGATTTACAGCTTTTAAATTACATTCGCAAAATGAAGCATTTCAGACTTTAACCTTAGCTTTTACTGGTAGCAGCAATCTATGTCTGGCATATAATCAGAGATAAGTAACTTCAATCACTGTTGGGCCACGTGCAGTTACTGTCTGCATTTAATGATTTAAAGAAAGACACTTTTCCTTCACAATAAAACTGATCATGAGATTTGATCTAAATGTTGTTTTTCTCCAAATAGGTGTTTTAAAGCTAAAGTTCATTACAGTCCCAAACTGTGTCAGTGCCAAGTTGAGCTCTAATTAAAGGTATCCAAAAAATTCACAGGAATACGTCACAGCGACTTTTTACTACAGCAGCCAAGTCCAGATAGTACAATTGTGATAAAAGCTGAACCAGAGTTACAGTGTTTGTATCTTTCATAGTAATACTTATGTAAGCAAAAAGATACACCCAGAATAGCTTTCCCACTAATTAGTAATGATTATCAGGAGATTATTCTTCTGAAATGAAAGCAAAACTTAGGAGGGCTATATAAAATAATTTTTCATCATTGGGAGGGAATAGAACCTTAAAATATAAACAGAAGCTACCCTGATAAACTTACCCACAGAAACTTCCATCTTGCAGAAAATGGCAAAAAACCCCATGTTCAAACATTAAATGCTGGGATTTTTGTTATGCTTTGTTGGGAGACAAGAAGCAAAGTAAAGTTCAAACTAATCTTTCTGAAATTCCTTTTTCTCCCCATAGAGTCCTGTATCCCTGGGAAGGGCGGAGGGCAGAATCCAGTTCACAAGTATTTTAAACACCATTAGAATAAAAATCTAATGGTGGGTGACCCATAATATAATTCCATACATTCTTTGTAGCAAGTTATGTTCTGTGATAAACCAGCAGCTACCCTGAGGACTGCAGAAAGATGGAAAAACATTTAGGAAGGTTAATTACACTTTGGTCCTGTGTTTCATGGTCCTCTGTCCCAGCCCAAAGAGACGTGCTTGTCCCCAACAGCGTTCGAGTTCATCCTGGGCCGAGGGCTTGAGGGTAGTTACACCACGGTGGGAGCTGCAAGGGAAAGGTCTAGATCAGCGTTAGGACATGCAGGCAGATCTAACCCTGAATATTCTTCAGTCACACACAGTCCCAGGTGGTAACATTAGTTATTCTTTTCCTTCTTTGTTCAGTTTTTTTCTTTTCCTTTTTTTTGCTTCCCCTTCACTTTTTTGTTTATTGTTTTTTTTTTGTTTTTTTTTTTTGCTTGGAACAAAACATTAAAATGTTATTGAGGGGAAAAAAGGTATGAATGGTGATATTTGGAAGGCTTTACCTTTTGTGTAGGGCTTCTAATTTGCTGGTGTATACACAGTTGTGTTGATTTTATCGGAGGAAAAAATTAGAGAACTTGGTTGCCTGGAATGTTTAAAAATAAGCTTCACGTCAGGAGCCCCTCTGAATTTCAGAAGTTTCCGTAGAGAAATGGCAGGCTTGATGACCATATTCTCAGGCTGGTATGTGTCATATAGATTCAAATTAATGAAACGATGTCTGTTTAGAACAGTTAAATATTTGGCTCAAACATACTGTACCAGCAGATATATATAAAAAGATGCTTCAGATATATAACATAAAAAACATTATTCGGAGCAAACACACTTTAGGACTCAGGGCAAATCTTCAGCAAGTGTAGTTTGTCATTGCGCTGCTGATTTCAGTAAGGCTGGGAGAATTTACATCAGCTTCTCAGAGTGGTGCCCTCTTCTCATGGCAAAAAGCCAGATGTGGCAGTCCTCACAGGACAGGGATCCTGTATGAGGAACACCAAATTTGATATCCCTGCAGATTCTAAGGTTGATTTTTAAAAGTTGAATGACAGAGAAGTTTGAACAGGCTGTATTAGCCAGTTTTTGTCACGTTTATATTAGCCACATATTAGCCACACATAATTGGCCAGGGTTGGAGGGAGAGTTTCTTTAGTTGGTTTTACATTTTCCATTTTACTGATTTTGTGAAATTAATGGAATTACTTTTGCTTCAGAGGTTGTTTTGGAGCATATCAGATGAGTTTAGCTGAAATATGAGCAGAAACATGTTATAAAAGGACAATAAGCATGCAAACCTAACACAGCCATTCTTTCCTGGGCTCAAATAATTGTCCCACTGATTAAACTGATTTGGTTGTGTTTAGCATTGATCCTGTGTGGCTTGCAGAATTTAAGAAATAATTAAGACAAAGAAAGGTTGCTATTCAAATACCATCAAAAAGGTTGCTATTCAAATAGCATCAAAAAGATGGTGGCTTTTCTTCCTCCCTGCCTTAAAGTCTGAACCAAGTTCGGAAGAAAAAGTTGTCAAGAAAGAAATGCAGCTGATACCAATGGGGGCAGAACCTAATGGACCTGATGCACTGACAAACTACAGTTGCTCTGTGCTCTTCCCTGGCCAGGGTCACCACATGCACCACATGCACTGGCCACTGTGGTTTGGCAGGAGAAATAGTCCCTGCCAAAAAGCAAGACAGGGCTGTTTTATTTAGGGGATCCTCCCCCTCCACTTTTACAGGGTGGCCAAGTCTTTGCTGTAAGCCTGCAGTGCTGATACGCCTCACCTGAAAGATGGGAGATGGTTGCTTGCTGTTGGTCTTAAACCAGCGCTTCCAGTATTGCTTTACCATTGCCTGTCACTAGACACTGCAGAATGTTTCTCTTGAGGCACGTTCCAGCTAACAGACATGGGAGAGGGATGGAGACTTTGAAACCCGGAGTCCTACAAACCTGGGCTCCTGGCTGTTACAAAACACAGAGTAGTCAGAGGGCCCACCTGCAAATTGTAGAGGATTTCTGAAGAATAGTCCAGTAGTCTCATGCAGTCAGCATTCTGCATTATCTTTAGGGACAACACAATACTGATAAGCAGCATTCTCCAAACTGATTATGTCTTTCATCTGAATTCTGCCAGTCCTGTACACGGAGTTTCATCTCACGTAGAACATGTTGCCATCAGGCTTGTCCCTCAGGTGCAGCTCTGAGATAGCCATCAAAAGAGGTGGCTGTTCAGCATCTATAGAGGTTGCGCTGAGCAACTATAGCTACAGCCTCCCATTAATTCTCGTTATTTGTTGTTGTTACTGAGTGTTTGGCAATTAATTGGATGCTGAAAGGTAGCAAGAGCAGTAAAAACTAATCTACACTTTTTCTCTTTCTGTGTCTGTATACATTTTGTTGTAGGCAGAATTTACAGACAGCAAATTACAATGCTGTGCAGTGCAGTCATCTCCTAAGGTAACGCCGGTAACTCCATCGCCCGTCCTGAGATCTTTGGCAGAGACTGTACCAACTCCAACGGTCCAGACAATATATACGTCACATAAACCCATTTCGCTGGCAGACAGGTACTGTGCAGTTATTTCACAGAATTACTATGACGCTCTCTGCATTAACAGAATCCACTTGGTTTCTCAGTTTCTGTCATAATTACCATAAAGTTACATTTCCCCCGATACCAAACGATTTTCATTTGCTGCTTGACACCTGCTTCAAAACAGGTGGATCATGTAAAGAAGTATCTATAACTCTTATAGCTGCTCTGAGGAAAAAAACTACCTTAATTAACCGGGGCAGCCAGCAGCATACCAGTTCTATGGCCCATGGCCTGGAGAGAAAGGGTTGTGCAGATTTTCCTTAAGCAAGTCATTTTGTTTTAATCATTGCTGTTGCAATTTGGGGCTTTTTTTCAAATTAAGTGTCCATGGGGGAAAGCTGAAGTTGAAAAATGTCTGATCTTCTAAATGAAAAACAGACACTGGTTTTCTTTCTTTTTCCTCTTTTTTTTTGTTTTGTTTTTTAGTAATGTCAAGCTACAGTGGCCTTTCTTGTAGTTTCTCAGAGAAAAAAGAAGCCATCCCATCTTCCCATTTGCAGCCTGCATTCAGTTTTCTATTGTTCCATTCTACGGGGTTTGCATGCTGGCTTCTTATTCCAGAATTTCATCAAAGCTGAATTTCCCGAGCTGATAAATTTACTGAATACAAATATAGGAGTGGATATACTCAGTACTTCTGGAGCACAAAATGTCCTAGGCTTATCTTGAAGAGAAAAGAATTTCTTTGGCATCATAATAAACTAGCCTTTTTTATTTTCGGCTTCACGGTCAATTCCCAATTTCATTTGTTAATTATTTTTTGCAGATGTTGGTTTAATTGCACCTGCACACTTGTTCAGCAATGTTAACTCATCTAAAAATTTATCACCCCGGTGAAAATGTAATTCTGAAGCTGCAGTGCTGAGCTCAGCTTCTGTAGGATGTCTCGAGCGCAAACGGGTGATTCCACCCCTGCTTGTTCGTGAATGGACTGCAAGGTTCCTGCACTGCAGTTTAAATCTCTGAAAGGCTTTACAAACATTAGATACTTAACTCTTGGAACAACACAGTAAACTGGATTTTTTACTTATACTATTTATTAAGAAACAGGATTACTAATCCAGGGCATTCCCGGTGCTGCCGAGCCTGTGGGCTCCGGAGCGATGCGCTGTGTGAGAGCAAGGACTTCAGGCTCTGCTTCCCGGACCCTGGTGTGTTCACACACAAAGTAGGACTGTAGTAAACTCAGCACATATTGACAGCCCCCAGTAACAAACCATCCTGAGGAGCAGGCGGCTGTGACACCGGTCTTTTGTGATGGCATTTCTGTAGCTGTTTCATTTTGAGAGTCCTAGTCCAGATTCCTTTGAAATCGGTAGTCTTTAACAGGGGTGAGATTAAATCATGAACTGTTTTGCCATGTGGGTCTTTTTATGTACTTTTTCTTGTTTGCTCTTCAGAAATATCAAGTGGTACTTGTTTTTGAATCAGCCATCAGTTATCAGCCTTTTTGCTGAATCGAGTCTGGCCTTTTTTCCCCTACTTTGGTATTTTGAAAATGTTAATTATTTTAAATTGAAATCTGAGACTTATTGTTGTTCCCATAATTGGCTGTTTGTGCATTAATTACACAGCGCTGAGACTCTGAGGCGTGAACTTGAGAGAGAGAAAATGATGAAAAGACTCTTGATGACAGAATTATGAAATTCGCACTTCCGTCAGATGGAGAATGGATTGGGGCCTTTCATGTGCCTTCTGTCTGTTTACATTCCTCTGCTTCTGTGTACTCAACATAATACATCGGGAAAACGTGTGATATTCCTGGCTCGCCTGGATTCACCGTGGTTGGTTAAAATTAAGTCTCAGCTAGACTTTAACTTGAAGGAGTTCCTTTATTCATTTGCTGCTGGGAAATAAACCTTCAATCCTTTATCTCTCCTGAGATTTTATACTATTAACACAATTAATTTCAGGTTTGGTTTTGGTAAATCTAGGGCAAAAAGGATCGGCAAGGAGCTTACTGATTTCTATTGGGAAACACTGTTCTGTACATATGTTAATAAGTGCACAGAAATTAATGTTATGCAGAATATTTTGATAGTAACATAGAAAATATGTCATTTTGTACAACTGAAAATTGCAATGAGCTACTGCTATTTGTTAAAGAAGCATTTTTAAAGCAGAAGAATGATTATTACATCCTAACCCCAGGACTGTTAGTCTCCACAGAAAAATAAACAGCTGTCTTATTAAATTCCTAACCTTAACCTTTACTCAGAGATATATATAGCTGCAAGGGGGAAAGACACCCCACCATACAGGTATACGCACCCAACACTCCCTATAGTTTGTCATCTTGACCTAAACCTTCAACTAAATCTTACTGTATTTCCATTGATGAAAAAAAAATCAGTTGTTTAAAGTAATTTGCTACTGACTTTCTAGCTTGATACTGACTTTTTTTAACTAAGTGAGAAGTTTCACCTTCTCCAGATTGCCTAGACATTAGGGTTCACCCACACTCGGACAGCTTCTGCCCCCCCAGCACTGAAGGTTGCAGAGCCTCAGCGGTGTGGACGTAGCTTGCACAGGGAGGACTTCTTTCCTTCCTGGCTAGATAAACCACCTTCCTGACTGACGTGAATTGATTGATCACTTTAAACAATAATAACAACGATAGTTTATGGCACAGCTGTGTCTATACCCACCTTGTCACTCTGCTAATCAGCAGGTGTGTACTGGCAGAGCTGTGGAGGGCACGCCTGGCTATATGTCCCGTTCACCTCCAGCACGCAAGCAGCCTCTGCCTTCAGTGGAGATCTCTCAGGCATCAGGCGGGGTGTGTGGTCCAGCCCTGGCTGAACCCCAGCCCCAGGGAGGGTGTTTATGGTATACAGGTAACATTACCAACTATTTCCTATTAAAAAAAAAAAATATGAAGAAAGAAGTTCTCCATTTCCCCCTGTTCAGTAGTGCAGGGTCATCTAGAAAGCTACCAACAACTGACTGTCAGCTACAAGGTACTTTTCCAACAGGAAAGCTTTTGTGCGTTTTGTATGGCTGAAGATGTATATTTTTCTGTTACTCTGTACACTATGTTCTCTTGTTTGCATTAAGATAAAAGATTGCCCTTCGTTTGATACTGAATATGATGGCTTTATCTCAGCTTAAGCAGTTTGTGTGGAGGCTGGGAAGTGATTACTGTGAGACCGGATTTCCTTCAGAGTCAGCTTGTGCTCTTTTTCTGGAATGAGAGGTCTTGAGAGCGCTGTAGGACTGTGGATTGCAATGTGGAGGTATGAAATGACTTGTCTATTTTATATTTACTGGGAGAAGAAATTAGCATTAGGCTCCCCAGTTAAATCCACCAAACTCAAACCGTTCTGGTTGCCGTAAAATAGGGCAAAATAAACAGCAGAAGTATTAGGTGGAAGCTCACAATACAAAATGGAATGAAGTAGCTCAACATGAGCAATGGGCACAAGGAGCCATAGACACACATCTGGACGGCAGATTTCAGAACTCTCAGGTGACTTTGCTGGGTAATCAGATATGACTTATACACTGTTCACCTTCTGTTTACAGTGCCAAGACACTTCTGTTCCTTATGTTTTAATGTACTGCTCCATTAAGATTATTAAAAAGGTTATTAAAAATAGATTAGGAACATTAAACCCCTATGAAGAAATCAGAAACGAAGGGAAAATGCAGCAGATGCAAAAGACTGCATCTTCCATGTCCTGTTCCTCTTTTCTGACCAATTCCCAGAAGGTACTGGAGGAAAGAGATGCACATTTTGTCTGCAGCCAAGTAATAGTGAACATCGTGAAGAACAAATAAAAGAAAATTGTAATTAGAGGTGCCATTTTGGGAGAGGAAAGCAGAGTAAGGTTGAGAATGGCACAGCACTGACTCCAGCTGTGCCTGGTCTGCTGCCTGCTGTTAGGCAACCTCCATCTGTGTGTGAACTGGCAGGAGTTTCACAAAGTCATTACCAAGGAAAATCAGAAAGAACAGACCTGAACACACACTTCAGTTGTACTGATTGCCATGGAGTGGACTTTGGGAGCCCTGCGAGGGGCCTTCAGGTTTGGGAGCAAACAGATCCAATCACCTGCATTAGGGCAGTCTGGTCACATAAGCCAAAGGCTTTAGCAGAATTGAAAGCCTGACTCAGACCAGCCCATCAGACGTTCTGGCTCGTAAACAAGCATTATTATTTTGAATGCAGCATTTTGCTCCCATTGTATTAAAATTCTTCAGCTGAAATATTCAGAACTGGAAAACAAGGTTACTTTACAGTGGCCAGGTCTTTACAGCTGAGGCGTGCTCTGGTGCAGCCAAGAAAGAGCAGGAACTCCTCCCTCCTTGGTTCCCACCAGGAGAAGAGGGAAAGGCTCGTGTGGCCACTTAGTTCCTGTGGGACATTTTCCACAGAACAACCCCAGGTATGTTGCCTTGTCTTGTTGTAGTGTCTTATCCACTGGCTGCCACTGTTCCCTATCCTGCAGTCTAATGGAGCATTTTAAAAACTGTTTTACTGACATTGAACTAAACTTTTAACTGTGGATTGTCATCCCCTTGTTCTTTCTTACTCTGTACCTTCTTCAGCCACGCTTAAGCCTCTCAGTTTTCACATCCTCTGAATAAACACTCCTGCCTCACCTCTGGTTGGGAATTACAGTGTTAGGACACCTGTTACCCCAAACTACTGTAAACAAGACAACGTCAACAGGAACAAATGCTGAGGGGCAGGTGGTCTAGATTTGCCCCTAGACTTTAACTTTACAGGTGTGAAAGGATACTCTGCCCGAGGGTATGTCTATATAATAGCGCAGAAGTATCTGAGCAGCTAGCTTTAATGAGCTTGCGTATGTAGTTGTGGCAGCATGAAGCCCAGCACAGGCTATCATTATCATGTACATTGACACGTGTAAAGATAACACATTTGAACAGCAGCCTTCTGAAGCATGGACTCCAGAGCTGGTGACAGGAAAGGGTGGCTGAAAGGCCTTTGTCTCTTCGGCTCTCCTGGGAAAGGGTTCATCTCACTTAATGTTAATATGCCCAACTCTCACCTGATGAGAGATCAAAGGAACTGCCTTCCAAAGGTGCCTCTGACTTAAATGTCTACTTTTATATTGTTTAAAGTTAAGTGAGACGAATCCTGCTCTCCGTCCCTCTGGTTAGGTCTGCCTTGCAAACCCTTGCCGACACGGCTACATCATCCAGGGGTGCTTTGAGGTATGATTTGTGATTGACGTCGCTCTGCCAGCAACAGCCTTGCGCGTTAGGTGTAAATATACCACCAGAAACACCCTGTTGTCACAACAGCTTTTAGCCCTTGTGGGAAGAACAGAGAGCTGGGACAAGTGGCGTAAGCACAGAGGCATCGTTACGGCTGTGCCCAGCCTGGGAGGAGCTGGGTGATGAAACCTCCTGCTGTAGCCACGCTGGCAAAGCCTTTCAGGGGTGGTCCTGGCTTCCAGCAGTGCCCCGAGTGATGCTCTGACCGGAGCAGCAGATCCCAGCTTTCCGCCGTGAAGTCTCTAAGTGGCAGAATGCAATGTTGTCATGTTCGGGTGATTCCAGCAAAATTTATTGGCCATTTAAATAGCTATGCAAGGAGTTAAATATTTTCTCATATTGCAGTCTCTTATGGAAGCCAACCAATTGTGCTTTGTTTCTGTGTGGTTCAGCTGTTTTCACTATTTCGTTTTAAAGGGAATAACCGGGTTTTCTTTAGACATGTTGTTTGAGATCCCACATCTCTATCAGATCCCACCGTGTGTGCAGATTTTTCACGTTTCAAATGTACTTAGACCCTGGAAGTGCAATGTTTGAAAATTAACTCCTCTGAAGTTTCAGTTCGTGGCTTCACAAGTCTCTTGCAACAGGATGCCTACGTGCCGATTTGAAACAGAGCTGGCAACGCAGTGAAATGTTTCATTGGAGGCAGCATCATGTTTTGTTTGAACTGTTTACAAATATCCTTTGGTTTTCTTTCTTCTTTTTTTTTTTTATTTTTCTGAATACATTTCTGGTTCATTGGCTACAAAAACCTACTCGTAATTATGCAATGGAATACTGTTTCTTTCTTTTTCTTTTCTTTTTTCTTTCTTTTTTTTTTTTTAATGTCCTGATGTTCAAGGAGTTTGCAATAAATATACTGAGGCTGATCTGTAATTGCATGTAAGATCAGCCTCACAACTGTGTTTTGTAAAGTTAAGTGCCGTAAAAGAGCCTGCAGATGACGTGGAGAAGGAGGGGAGGGAGAAAGTAAGTGGAGGAGAAGGCTTCTTTGGCAGCTGCGGCTTTGACTGGTGGGAAGCAGCTTTAAAGTAAGATTGCTCACACCATTTTGTTTCATCTGAGTAGCAGCGTGTATCATCAGACGGTGTATGATGGCATTTTGTTGAAAACACGCCTAGAGAGACACTTTTACGGCTCAGCTGTTTACCTGTTCCTGTATTCATGCCTGCAATAAATAAGATGAAAAATGCATCACGGAGTCTGAGCAATTTGTAGTCAAATCAGTCATTTAGGAGGCATGGGGCAGGGCGCCAATTAAAGGAAACATTTGATTGCTAATAAAGTGGGTCCACCTCCATAAAAAAAAATACATCCTGAGGAAAAAAAACCCACCAGATAATTTCTTCAGAAAGCCCAGAAAGTTTTCTCCAGCTTAAAGTTACAGGCCAGCATTGTAGGGGGCCAATCTTGTGTTGGCTCATTAGCTGGGGCACGCTTTGCTGAATACCAGAGCTGGAAAAACACTGGCAAAACACTGGCAGGATCGAGGTAAAGAAACACGAAACGTGGCGCTTTGCTGCTCTTTCAGCTGGGGCTCAGAAGGTGGCAAAAAGCGCTACTGGAGTGGAGAGGTGGGGAGAAATCTTCCATTTCACACAGGGCTAAGAAACCTCCAAGTTATTAAACTGTTCCATGAAGGAGAATTTAAAAAGAAAATAAAAACAAAACCAAACAACAAGTAAAAATAAATATTTTTGTTTTAACATAATTAAAACATTTCACTCAGATTTTTGCCCTTGATTTTGCCATTCGTTACGTGTCTAAATGAAAAGTTGCTTCAGAATGAAACATATCCATTTTCTTTTGTTGAGAGATCTCTAAATCAGGACGTTTTTGACATTAGCTTTCCCAGAGCACTTATGAAATGAAATCCCAGTAATGTTCACCCCATTTTCTGAGGTTGCCAAACTCTATATTTGGAAGGAATATGATCCCATCCCAATTTCTCCAACTGGGTATTCATCTATTTTTAATCTCTGTGCAGGGAAAGCAAGGGAAGCAACAGAAGCAACGTTCTTCCATCAGTACTCAATTTATACCAAGAAAATTGATTACCCAGCCAGCAAACCTAGTTAATTAATTTCCCTTAATACACGTCTTTGCTAAAGAGATAGTGTTCTGGGGTGCTGGGGAAGGAGCAGCTGCGGGCTAGAAGGTCAGCAAACTACTCGCGTGTAACTTGGCTGCAGCTGGGAAGCGTGAGGACCTCGGAGATGTAAATCTGAACAATTTTCTGCTTTATTATCAGATGGCTGATCTATGGGACCGGGCGAGAGGTCGTTGAGATAAATCCCGTTTCTCGGGGGACATGCTTTCTGGAGCAGAAAGCAGGCTGTGCCTGCAGGCACTATCGGCTGGGGCAGGGCGGGGAGATGGGGCAAGAGTTACCAGCTGGTTTGTGCCACACAAATCCTGCCGCAGCCATGGGGCAGGAGGGCACCACACGGTGCAGACCCAGCCTGATGGAGCAAACCCCAGCCCTGGGGAAAGGCAATGGCCGTGGCGATGGCCGGTCACCACACTCACAGCAGCCGCAGTGACATCTTTGGGGATGGCAGGGCTTGGGATCCTCATGCCCCAGTGCAAGTTGCCCTAAAGGGCAAGCCTACAACAAGCACAGCATCAGGGCTGGCTGTCACCAGACCTGCTGGAGGAGAAGCCAGGGAATGAGAGAGAGAAAAGTTCAACCCTTGATCTCCCCCAGCCACTCTGCACCAGGTTCACAGGAGCATCCCGAGCTCCTGGTGCGGGATGAGGAGTGTGGGCTTGCCTGTTTTGTGATAAACAGGGCATAGGGTCAGTTTAGCTGGGGCATCAGATGTGTTTGACAACCCCAACCGCTGCAGCTATGCCTGATGTGCTGCCAGGAGCACACATGGTTTGTGTGTGCCTCTCTCTCCAGGCTTTAGGGTCTGCCGTGGTCAGGGGAGAAGGAAGGGAAACAACAGGGAGAAAGAGAGCAGCAAACAAACATCACCTGCTGGGTGGCCTGACAGAAAAACACTGCCTAAAACAATGCTTGCCTTTTTAGTTTATTTTAAAACTACATGTACGAAATTGCATCATTGCATAGGTAATGTGTAGTTGATACTAATTATGTATTTTTTTAATGGCTATTTCTACAGCGTGTGTGGTACACAACGCCAGGGACTGCACAGCTCTGCCATCAGAGTATCTGGCACAGCAGCGAGGCGTAAAAGCCACATGGATCTTTCCTGTTTCATGCCCTGATTGCTCAGCTCTCCAAGCGGAGAGCCGCTTGCCCTCCTGCGTTGTTCCTCCCCTGCCTTTCATTAGCAAACTCCTTTGGAAAGCCAAGGAACACAGAGCACAAAATCTTTTCTTTAAAGATATTCAGTCAGTGACACTTGGCATCACAGGGCCCCAATGATGTGAAGAACTCAAGTATAATATTTTTTAAAATTATTTCTCTTGCTGCTTTCAGAAAAAACATCAGGAAGAAGTGATTTCTGTGCTAACACTCTCCCGCTCTGCTTTGGCTGCTGGACCCCTCCAGCCAGGGGGGTGCCAGGCTTGGCAAGAGAACAGGGTGACTTGGTGGGAGGGGACTAAGGTTGGTTTTTTGGGGTGGGGGTGGACTGCCAACACCTCCCCACCCCACTTCCTTCCTCCCTGTGGGACTCCTGCTATGGCTGACACAACTGCTGCATCCTCCGAGGTGGGACCTGCACTGCCCTGCTGGGAGGTGAGAAGATGTTTGCAGCTTCGGGGTCACTCAGGGAGGGTTTGGGGCTGGTGGTGCTGAGAGCTGCAGCACTTCTGTATACAAGAGGCACGTGTGAGAGCTGGGGGTCCAGAGAGTTTGGAGGCTGCATTGCTCCTGGGTTCTGCAGGCATAAAGAGATGCATGAGGCCCTGGGGAGGGAGATGGGTGTGAGCTGCTCTCTCCCTGGGTGGGTGAAATTAGGGTTTCAGTGGCAGGTTTATCACCATGAGACTGGGTCATGGCTCCATCCTGACCAGGAGTTTCAAACTTGTGCCCTCCAAAGCTGACTAAACCCCACGGGGCCAATCTTTGCACGAGGAACAGAGCAAGGTCTGCAGCAGGGCTGGGGTCAGGGCCTTCAGCAGCACCGAACAAGACCAGCAGCGCCATCATCACATGGCTCACGGCTCTTGTGGCAACACAGGGAGGGCAGTCCCCGAGAAGCACTTCTGCCAAGGCTGCTGGTAGGTGAAGACAGGGAGGGGGAGAGCTGGAGCTGACTTAGGTTTGCAGCAGGTTCACAGGCACCTTCACCCCTGTGACCATCCCTCCCCTCCCTCTGGCTTTATCCACTTCCCACATGAACATCTTCTGAATTTCTGAAGCCCTTTGCCAGCCCTTGCTTTTCCTGGCCATTGCTAGGTGCTCCTGCATCCACACTTGTCTTGTGAAGCAAACTGCCAACTCATTAATCCCCTTCAGGTGTTCTAAAGTGCTTTCTTCCCAAAGCAATGCAGCTGGAATTAATCTTGCTATATATTATGTGGTAATAAATCACAAGGGTAGCCCAAGCTGAGTGCTTTTCTTATTTCTTTTTCTTCCCTCTTTTTTTTTTTTTCTCCTTTTTTCTTCTTTTTTTGGGTGCACAACTTCTCACCTGCCAAACCCAAACTGCTGCTCTGGCAATGAGATCAATAACAAACTCCTGGGTCTGCCCACCTGCTCTCACAGGAGAAACATACCATTAAGTCTCAGTGAAACTGTTTTAATTGCTTTTTTTTTTTCCTTTGTGTGTGTGTCCTAAGAAAAACAAAAGAAAACAAAACCCAAGCCTGATAGAGCAGCATCTAACAAACCAGAATTCTTGAATGCCTTCCTGGAGTGGAAAAAACCCTTCCTCTGACAGTCAGAAGGATGTTTCCAAGCAATTTGTTTTCTTTCTCCACTGGGGAAGGGTGGGATTTCCATTTCCCACCTTCCCCCAGCAACACAGTCATGGTTCCCTCTCTGGAAAAGCTGCATTAGTGCAGGGACTCAAACTTCTGCACTGCTGGCCCCATGTCCTACCCATGGTGGCATGAAACATCTCCTGACACAAGAGCTGTCCCTACAGCTGCTGCTCCATGACCTGCCCAGCTTAGCAGACCTACAGACCAGGAGGTGCAGGTAAGCTGCTGCCTTCGCTGCATCTGATGGGTTCCATTGTAAGACCCTGTGGAGCTCAGCATGAATTTGGCAGAGAAGAGTGTGCCTCGGTAGATCTCAGCAGCTTGGTCTTCAGGGCTGACACATCTCCCAGCTGTGTGCATCACCTATGAACTGAGTGGCAAAAGCTCCAGGCTCCACTTTCTAGGGCCATCCAACTCCTGAAATAAATCTTTCTGCAACACTAAGATGTCTCAGTTGAACCTCCAAGAGCCACCTCTGCCAACCCTAAACCACTGTCCCTGCTGCCCTGTTCACCCCTGTTTGCAGAGCCCAGGCTCTGCTGGAACACAGCTCTTGCAGGGCAGCTTTGCTTGCTTGAAAACCCTTCCCAGGACACTGTGCCCAAGCCCCAGAGAGGAGCTTTAGGCCATGCAGGGCTTGTCTCAGGGCCACCTCAGGGCAGCTCCTATCCCCCCAAGAGGCTCTTGGGCACCCTGTTCTGGTGCTGCTCTCTCTGGTGGGGACAGCCTGGCATATCTCTGGGTCTCCTTTGGCAGGTCTATTCATGAAGTCCAATTAGTGTTGTTTATGCTTGTGTTGTAACTGAAAGGAAAAAAAGTGATGCTTCAGTAGGTCCAAGAGTGTGAAGAGATAAACGTAATTACAATAAATGCAATATATTGAAAGATACTACCGTTTAATTAAAAGTATATGAATTATGCATGTATCTCTTCCACAGCCTGTAACTGTGTGGACTGGAGCAGTAAGTGAGTACATCCAGCTCTAGCGTCCTTGGGACACACATGGCTGCTTAATTTCTCACTCACACACCTAACACCCATGGCTGAATTTTCGCTGGGAGTAAACAAGACCATACAAGGGCATTGCTTGGAGTTGCCTTTGCTTTTCTGTGCTCTTGGGTGCTTGACAAGGGATGCAAATCTCATCCCATCAGTTTTTCCCCCCTAGGAAGATGGAGACTGCCTTCCACACAACTCGTACAACATAAGACTTAAAACTCACACTATTTAGGGGCGCAGAGCTGCAGGGAAGGAAAGCAGTGGGGTGGGACACCAATATATGCCCCACATAGGAC